ACATGACCTAAACACAATAATGGAAATCATGAAGGAAATTTTCAGCATTGCTTTTTGCATTGTGACGAACCAAAGAAAAGTGCATATATAAATTAGAAAAACAAAACCAGTAGTTTCAGACGTACCACATCTGCCATAGAGCTGGAAAAAACCTGCCTGTTATATCAAATTTAAAATGTGATCAGTTAAAGAAAACTTATTTTGGTTTTGAGGGAGAGAAACTGGCAAAGCAGTAGTTAACAAAGTTAGTAGAGTGACACTTTTTCTTGTTTTTTCTCATTCAGCTGAAATTACCTGAAAGATTCTGGCCTAAGTCCCTGTGTTATGCACAGGAACTGAACATAATTTTTGCCATTTTGAACAACTCAATCACCAGGTATTTTTAACAGAAACTTTCTCAATAGCCTCAAACCTAAGTAACTGTCCTTTGCAAAGCAGCGCAGTGTGCTCTGCAGTGTAGTTGCTGATGTGTGTAGAGACAGTCATCCTCTGGATGCTGCTGAGTGGTTGTAAGGGGAATGCTGCTGGTACCTGGAATGGAAGGTGTGTTGGTAACCACGCACATGCCCTGAACTGCAACAGGAGGAGCGTAAAGGAGATCTTGTGGAAAAATCCTGAAATAAAACTGAGCAGACTGCTCAGATGTCCCTGCTTTTTTATGGTCAGAGCTAGGAGGGCTGGGGGTGACGTGCAGCTTTGCTGTTGTACATATCCACACTAGTGGTCGTTGCATCAAAGTTCATGATAACTGAAAGTCTTAACAGAGCATTGCAAAAACCATCTGTGATACAAGCAACGCCATCCCAAGAAAATTATTTGTTTGAAAATAATAGCAAAATGCCAATTCTGGCATTTGGCCTAAATAGAAAAGAGTTATTCCCTCTGGCAGTGTTTTTGGCTGGTACACCTGGGGCATCTTGGGAAGGTTCTTCATCTGCCATCTTTACACTTAGGGCTCACATAGCTTCTCCTTTCCTGCTCTGCTCTCAATGTTAGGTTATCACTCTGTCTCCCTTAGGTGCATCTTCCAGGATGTCTCCACGTAAGGTCAAACCCAGTGTGGCCAGTCCTGACTTGCTGATCCTTTCTTGGGAACTTGCTCATCACCTGCCCTTCTCTGACAAGTGATGAGGATACAACCTGTCTTCCTGCCCCTCAGGCCTGCAATCTGTTATTCCTCTTGCTTTCATTCCTTGTTTGCCTGAGTATCTTCGCTTTCCACAGGGAAACTAGATTTTAAGGCTCATCAGCTTTGACAGTGCCTGTTACTGCAAGTGTCAGATCTCGATTGAGCGGATAATACCTTTTATTAGGGCCACCTTTGGGAAAACAGACCAACTTTTGGATATGCAAGCCTGAAGTTTTGAAGCAGAAGAGCTGGTATTCCTGAAAATGTGTATGTTTTTCCAAATACATACGTAATAAAATATACTGTGTCTTCCTACAAACTTTGACTTGCTTCTATAATTTTTGCATGTTGTGAAGAGCTTCCATATTCTATGCAGCCTCCTGCCATCTCATTCTGGGAGAATGTTTTCATATCATGGTGGCGAGCGGCAATGAAGTAGAACCCCTGACATTAAGCAAAAAGATACTGTTTTCTCAGGGAGGGGGAACGTGGAGTTGTAAATCTGTTTGTGGCTATGCAAGGACTCCTGCTTTACAGAAGTGAAGTACCATCTAGGATGGGAGAATAATTCACATAACGGACCCGTAATCTTAGAGAGATATTTGCAGGAAAGCAGCTTTAAAAGAAGCTTTATAGTTTGAGTATAGTTGGTACAGCCTGATACAACTCCAGCTGATTTTGGTGAGACTTGCTGTTATCCGATAACTAATCTTCAACAGAATTATTTTTTGTAAATGACCAGTTTAAATATTTTAAACAGAATTCTGTTTTTTCCTGTCTTCAGCAGGTTTGGTAGCTCAGCAAACATTATCACTTTACCTCAGGTCTTTTCCATAGCAACAGATTTTTACGTCAGAGCCCTTGGTGACTTCATTGTGGTTTCACATGCATAAAGAACATTATACGCCAGATGTAGTTCCTGTTCAGTTTGAAGGCAACTGTATGAAGTTTGAAGAAGGCAACTGTATGAAAAGGAAGCAAATAAAAATGTAGACGTGTGAGTTAGGATTAAAATATATGCTTAAATATCTTTGTTTAAATGACCTCCTTGAGTGAAAATGCATGTTATGTGAATGGATTAATATATATATATATTCATCCATTATATTAGCATGTTTTATTTCTATTATTGAAGATACTTAAATTTAATTACACATAAAGTCCAAGACTACAGAACCAAGCTGTAAGCAGGAATTAAAGGAAATTATGTTCATTGTAATTAATATTCAGCACATAGGGAATGCATTACATTGTGACATGCTGTGAGTAGTTAAGACCTGGACTTCCTCACTAATAGGTAGGGCCAAGCCGGTGCATTGGATCAAGCCCTTCTAATTCTGAAGAAGTCTGAATCCAAATCTTGTTTTGTAGTTCACGACGCGGGCTCAGCTCTGGTACAGACGTTAGGGTCTCAGTTGTGGTTGGCCTCTGTACAACTGTGTGGGAGGGGGCAGCCCGCAGGCCCTTTCCCTTCTAGTGCTGCTCCACACAGCACAGATAGAGCTGCAGGCCTGAAAATCATGAGATACAGACATGTTCTCTGCTAGTTTTATCTTGGGTAAGATATAGAGAAGGGTAGGATATAGAGAGTCTTGGAAACAATTGTGCTTGTGGATACGTATTTAGAAGAGTCTATACTAACCTCTCAGTTGGTATGGAGGCTGTTGTTAGCCCACTCCTCTCCCGTGACAAATTAGGCCACCTATCTACTGTATGTCTGTGGTGCAGATGGGAAAATGATTCAGACAATGCAGGGACTCTGGAGAGAGAGTCTTGAGCATTGACTTTTTGTATGTAACTTCTTAGTTATTGCTTAATACAAAGGCATTGCAAAAATCTCCCTAGTGAGTTGTGTAGTCAAAGGCAAGCATAGTTTACCCATTTCTATGCCAAAATAGATTGCTTAATTTGATTGATGTGCATAGAACTAGACTAAATTTCATGTTTAATAATGTTCGTCCCTCTGCTGCTAGATAGATGAGGCATTTTACTTCTACTTGTACCTGTCAAATTAAATGAAGTCTTGCAAAGTCTTCATTTTGTCCATAGAAGTATCTTAAAAGTCTGCTGCCATTAGACACTACTACCTAATGTGAGAAGTTCTAAGGCTATAACGCAAAAGATGCAGCATCAGGTTACTTTCCCTTCACGCAATCTGCTTGCAGAACATTGAATCACAGTAAAAACAGAAGACAAAATAAGGACTTATGAGAGCTACAAACACTAACAAAATGTAAAGATTGTGGAATAGAATCTGGCCGCTACTTATCAGTCTTTCAGCCCAAAGTAGCCAATGGATCTGGATGCCAGAGGGATTTGTTTTGGGCAGCAAATATTGTACTGCCCAACTCAGGCCTTAAAATTGGTGAGTTGGATAGAAAAAGTGGGATCGTCTTTTAGCCAAGAAATCCAGGAGAGTTTTATACCTAGTAAAAGGCCTACACTTCCTCTGACATAGTAGGAGATTTGATTGCTGGCCTTGACAGCTTTGATTAAACTAGTTTACATTGGAAGTAACTACTAAAATTAATGGCATCCTTCCAGTGCAAACAAAGCTGAGCTCATGTGTGTATATAAATTGTATCTAAGTGAGTTACAAGTCCCTTTTAGTTTCCCATAATGTTCTTTGAGGACAGTTGGCAAGAAATTGTCAATTGTATGTCATTGAGAGCCACAGCTCATCAGATAAAATTTCAGGGAGATTGTATCAGACAGCAGACATATCCTTTCAAGCACAGCTTAAGAGAAATAAATGTGAACCCATCAACCAACCGGTTTTCCTGTGTCTTTAACTCGCAGGGCAGTATTTACAACAGGCAACACAGAGGATGAGATAAGATATACGTCTAGATAAGAGGTAAAATTTTTCAACAAGCTGCGTAAGAAAATGTTGGGTTCCCTTTAAGTAATTGTTGAGAGTGGGAAGTGTTAGTCTACTTTGTCAGTAATGTGAAGACACAATAGATAATCAACGTGTTTTTTCAGTAAGGAGGAAGGATATTTTCATTACCGGCTTCCAAAGAGCTTGTTCCTGTTTTGATTTCTCTTTTTAATAACACTTTTAAAGTACTTCTCTAAATGTGTGTAGATTATACATGGAGCAATCTCTTCAGACTGGAGAAAACTGAGCAGTGTCACATACTTTTTGAACAGCATCTTTCTGATCTAGCAGGAAACTCCTACGCTTGTGCTACCTAACATTAGCCTTTTTCTTTTGAGTGAGTATATTTTTCCCTTTGAAAACAGATGTCAGGTCCTCAAATATTTTGACGCTTGTTCATTGAAGTCACTGAGCTGTGTTGATTGGTAAGAGCTGAAAATTAGGTACACTGTACTTCATGACCGTTTCTTATGCATTTGACCTGCCATATGAGGTAGGTTTTTTATTTTTATTTAAGTCTTGTAGCCGATTGCTCCTTTTCAGAAGAAGCAGTGCAGTTTTTGGAGACATTGTTTTCAAAACATCAAGGCCTTTCTCATTAAGAAAGGAATCACAAAGTATCTGGAATAATAAAAGCCTTTTTTCTTTCCCTTTGGTGAAACAGTTCTAATAGCACAGGTTTTTTGACTGAAGGGATGGGTTATCTTGCCTGGATATTGTATGGGTGTAAGTGAGGGCATAATGAACATAAGCACAATAGAGAATTGAACTTAGTGAACTTTGCACCCACTGATGAAAACGGAAAGATTCCTTCAAGCGCTGCAGCAGTGCTAGACCCGCAGCTCCCTCTTCCACCGGCTCAGGAGGCCTGAGGGAATTCATAAGTAGCAAAATCAATCTTCTAGTTTTCAGATAGGGCTCTAAATGTGTATAGGGAGTAGACCTACTAGGTACGAAGGTATCATTTTTAACATAGCCACTTTGCGGAAAATGCTTCTCCCCACAAACCCACAGGTAAGAATTCAGGTTTCGCTGGCGTTTTGTAAAAGGTTGTTTGAATCACGGCAACTGAGAACAGGTACTTAGCCCTTTGGTTTAGGGGATGCAGTAGCGACCAGGTGTGATGCTAATCCCATGGTTCCATTGCATTCTTTTGAACATAAAACCTGGAGAAATCACTTTGTTCATTGTGACAGATCTTTGAAAAGCAGAGGAACCTCTAAATGGTCTCATGTAACTTATAAGCTGTGCATTCTCCTTCAACTTCTTGGCATCTGCTGCTTTCTGTTTCATCAGGCCTACATCAGTGTCTTGGAAAGGAAGGTGGTTATAATGGCACTGATCTTTAAGTGTTTGTTTCTTTTGAATCTCTACTCTAGGGTCAGAGTGGACTTGTGACTCATGATTTTCCTTTAATTTCTCCTAGGAATATTCATTGCCTTATACACCACAGTATGCACAATGCAAAGATCCCAGCACTCAATTCTATGAAGAAGAACTTAATAAATGTTGCAGCCAGTGCCCTCCAGGTAGGCTATAATTCAAACTATTACTTTACACAGCCAAATTCAGTCAATTTTCAGATGAGCATAGTACATTTTGATTACTTATACATCTTAAGAGCATCGAATTTTTGCTGTTGTCTACCTGGAAGACAATAAAATGCTGTGACTGTAAAAATATCTGCAAAAGCAGCACACTGTTCATCAGAATTGGAATTCTGTTACAAGGCTAACCTGGCTGGGGCTTATCAGGAGGTAGGCTGCTGAGCTCTTGTAAGCACAGCTTTGTGCTGAGCTCTTGAAGGAACAGCTTTGCATGGTGTTTTGATTAAAGTATTTTTAAGTCAACATTTGGGGGAGGGAGCAACAGCTCACTAAGGGAATTACAAAAATTAGACAACACGTGTCAGACCCAAGCCCACTAATAACAAATATATTGTAAAACAGGGCATGAGGTAGAGCTTAGTTTCTGTACTTTGATAATATCACTTATATAAGGAGCTTTCCATCGGGCAGGTTAATCTATAATTGCTCATTAAGGGAGTTTTGTTGTCTTTTACTGTAAATCAGACACTTGCAGACCACTATCAGAGTCTGGGTACAAGACTACAGAAACTGTCTGCTTTGAGGTGTCATGTCTTACATTCCAGTGAGAATTATTAGTAATCTTTTGTTAGCAAAAGTTGTTGACTGCAGAAAGGTGGGTGTGTGGGTTTGGGGTTTTTTTGGGGGGTAGTAATGCCGTTTGGGTATTTTAATAATAGAATTTTTGCAATAAGTTGTCATTACATTATTACATTACACAGCAAAAAACTGCCTATTTGTCTCATTACATGCTGAGCAAACAAAATTTGCCTCCATAAATGCTGAGTTCCTGTCAGAGAGATACAGAAGTTGAAGCAGGAAATCAGTATATGCTGAAGCAGCCACAGTTGCCTGAATTAACCGAAAATGTCTAGATAGATCTGTCAAGCTTCCTTTGTTAAAAACACAACAGATGAAAGATGATAACTCATAGGTAAAACCTTTTTCTGTTGTGGTATGTACTGTTCAGTCTATTTCTCCTGAATTTTAATTTTTCAGAATAACAAACTGTGGGCAAGAAGTTGTAAGAAGTCTAAAATCTTTATTTTTGTTATTATGAATTTGAATTTTTTTTACTGTAATTTATGAAAAATTGAAGCCTAAATCATTAGCAGGATGTGGGAGGCAGAATTTTAAGGTTCAAGTAAGTACATGGAAAAACAAAGTCTTTGGAAATAATTTCTATGGCTCACCTCCAGGGCCCCTTTCAGAGAACAGAGATTCTCCAAGCAGCTCCCAAGGCTTTCTCAGTGTTACTCCTGCTTTCTGAGTATGTTTTCCAGGATATTTCTGTACAGGATATGAGACATTGACTTTTATCTTCTTCCTCCTTTCAAGCAAGGGGGAAATGGCAACTGAGGTGTTTTCCTTTCTCCCAAATGGGTATGTTTGAGCTCATATTTACTTATTCCCACCACTGCACGGTACTCTGTTGTTGGTGAGAAGCACTGGAGAAACTGCCTTTGATAGCTTTTGATTTTGTCTGGAACGCCAGTAGCTTCAGAAACTCATTGCTTTGATCTGTTAGGGCTGGCTGACGATGTTAGGGCTGGCAGAAGAGGTGAAGGAAAAAGAGTGAGCTCACGTCCCATCAGTAGTGAGAAGTGGTGAAGTTCTAATTCAGGTCTGTTTGTGGTAATACTTTATTATGCTTTCTTCACTTGCTGCTTGTAAAGGCAGCAAGGGCCTCACCCAGACACAACATTCTAGCACGTGCCTGACTTTCAGCATGAAACACCATCCTGTGTTTCACCACAAAACGCAGCTTCTGTGAGGATAAAAAATTTGTTTTATGTACTGTGGTAGTTGCATCTAAGTATATGCTGAGGGGTTGTGTTCAGGAGTGAGGCTGCCTTGTTTTGAATATGGCTGGAATTCACTGAACTGAATGTAGGAAAAGGGGTCAAACACGAATAACGTGCAAGAAATCAGAGTTTCCCTGTATATACGTGCAGTCCTCCTTTAAAACAATACTTGGTTGGTATACGTTACCAATCTGATAGTGGCAGTGAAGGGAAAGGGTTTCTACAACTAAGAATGAAACTTACTGTAAACAATTCCTAGTGATCTTTTCCAATGAGATGCTTTCTCTGTTTTGGTTTGGTTTGGTTTTTTTTAATAGGTCAATATAAGACTGAGAGCTGCAGTCACAGGGTGGACACAAAGTGCAGTCCCTGTAGAGCTAACACGTATACAGCAATCTGGAATCGGTCTCCTCAGTGCTTTGCCTGCTCACCACCCTGCAGGAAAGGTAGGCTTGAATTATTAAAGCGGCATTTGTGACTTTAGCAGCCTGCTCAAAGAGTGGGCTTGGTTTAACCTAGTGTTTTCTCCTAAGAAAACTAGGAGGTTTTGTCTGTCACTTGTATAGTCCCATTCTCATGCTTTTGGTACTCATAAGATTTGGGGAAAAGAATCAGGGAAAAGTCTTGCAGGGGGCCCTGCCCCTTTTTCTTTCTAAGTCCTAAAAATGTGACACCAATCTTACATTCTTGGAAACTAAGGCACTGCATCACTAAAATAGGTACAAATGTCATCAGTAGAGTAACTTCCTGCTTATACTCTCCAGCCAAGGGAGCTTAAGACCTGAGTTGCGCAGGGGTAAATGGGTAATTACATTTCCAGCATCCAGTCATTCCTCGGTTTGTCTGCTGAACTGACAACAGCAAGCACCAGTTGTGATATTCCTATATTGTTTTTATTTCTTTTGCAAAGCAGCAGAGTCAGTGAGAGCGTGCTGGTTCACTTCATTAAAGCAGCTTAACAGTATATAAAGTGGTACACTGTACCAACATCTGTACGTTTGTTAATGCATGTGATCTATTAGACCAATTCAGTCATGCTGTTGCCCATCATTTCTAATGGAAACTGGTGTAGAAAATTATCTACTTGACTCACTGGCAATTAAGTTTTAACGATACTGTCTAAGTTGTTCAAAGGACCTTTCGTCTCATCTAAATAGACAAACCTACGAAGCTGGTTAGTTACAGTATGAAAGTGTCTGCAGTAAGGTCTCCAATCACTTTAAATACAGTTGCATGATCTGCATAGACTACAAATCTTAGTGTGGCCCCCAGATACTGCAGTGCTGAGCACAGGTAACACAAATGTGCATATTTATGGTTATGATACAATACGATGCAACTGCAGGTACAGAGTTTCAAGTGTGAATTCTACAGATGCAAATTTCTCCTTTCCTAGAGAGAAAGAGGAAGCTCTTCTGAAAATGTAGATGTTGGGGCATATAACATATTTGTTTTATAATGCTATACTAGCCAGAAGCTGCAAAATTGTCTTCAGTTTGTGGTATGTGAACATCACCTCATATTCACTTGAAACATTGCAGGCTATGATTTTAAATGTTGCTAATGACATCTTGCTTTATTCTTGTTTTAAAAACAGGATTTGTGCAGAATCAAACATGCACTAAGTCACAGGACAGAATCTGTAGCTGCCCACCCAATGAGTACTGCATTTCGAAAATATACGAGTACTGCAAAATATGTAAAGTGCATAAAAAATGTGGAAAAGGTTACCGTGTTTCCAGAAAAGGTAATTTAATTCTGAACACTCTACACACAAAATAGTTTTACTGTATGAAGAGGGTTATTTTTTGCGTTAATAGTCCATAAATATTTCTGAATCTGCCTCCAACTCAGTAAATTACAGGAATATTGTCTTTTAATTCCCTGCAGTTATGCATTCTTTTTAGTGCAAGCATTATCTTAGCAAGTAGGCAGTAACTAGAGCAACAGTATTCTCAAGAGGCATATCCAAAGGGACAACATGTCGCAATCTATTACTACCATATATCATAAAGTTCCCCAATCCAACTTAACCTTCCTTTGTTTTGCTCTGCCGTGTGATTTCTTCCATACAAGTGACTCAGATTCAAGACCACTTAATTCCCGCTTAAATCCTTGAAACAGGGCTTCAGGATGAATTTTGGTTACAGTAAGTAATGATGACTCTATGCTGTCCTGAAGAATTAATCTGTCTTTATTAGACGTTGAAAGTCACCACTCTGACAATGTAGCTGTCTCAAGATGATAATGATAAATAATATTCAAAGAGATGGAACACTGAATATTTTTAAGAAATTAAGAATCATTTGAAAAGGTACAGAACTCCAACAGAATGGAATAGGTGGTCAGCCTGTCAGGGATGAGTGAAAAAGCTCAGCTCTGCCTGCAGTACCATGTTTTAACCTTTTGGTGGGGTTTTTACAGTATTTGAAAAAGACTATCAAGGGCACCAAACTAACAGCTGATGAATCTTTGATTTGTGTTTGGGTTGGGTGTTTCAAATTAATCTCTTCCGTGACAGTTAAAGACTGTATTTTGTGTACTGCCTCTGTATCACTTCCAGGATCTGTACCGCAGACCTTGATTATTCATTCTTGTTTCTCACTAGATGACTAACTGGAGTTTTTCTATTTGTTTAAAGGGACAGATAGCGCAGATACAGAATGTAAACCTTGTCCTCCTGGCACTTTTTCACATGAGGAATCTTATGATACCAGCTGTATACCACATACAGTGTAAGCCAGTGTTCCTGTCTAATAGCAACCTTAACTGTGCACAGGGTTGCTTTCTTTCCTAACTTCTCTTTTTGTTTCTTGCAGTTGTAAATCAGTGGCTATTCCTGGTAACAGCATAAACGACACTGTTTGCAGTGACTCAGGAACAGCAGCTGCCACAGTTCTACCTCATACGATTTTGAACCTGCTCCTGACCCAAAGCTCGGCTTCCAACAAACCTGAAATAATAACTCGACCTGTCATTTTAAACTCTGTGCCTGACATGTCTTACATCATTGGTGAGCTGTTAACTAATTTAAAGTCATTTTTGTCTGGCTAGGAAGCAAGTTTATATTTAGTTTTCAGTTTCTTTCCAAGACCAATTACCTGTACCCAAGCAGAACTGCAGAACAGCTGAATTAATTCAATATGACACTGCTTATAGTGAGTTGCATAATGTTTACCTATGCATCTGCACTACCCTAGTGCATTCTACAGTCCTTGTAATTCTGGAAGTATTTCTAAAAATCCCAAAACTAGATTATACAAGGCATTTCCTGAGAATTGCTACTATGAAGGAGGTGGTGGAAAAGGTTGTATCTTAGATTCTGAACTGAGGCAAACTTGACTTCATAAACCTTCTGGTGAGGGGTCTTTGGAGACTTCTGGCAGCCTTTCCTGAAATGGGAAGTCCTTATACCATTGACAAGTGTAGATGTATTCTCTCCTGTTCACAACCTGTCCAGAAGGCATATATGTTTAGGAGCATTCTGGACTGCCTGGCCTTGTATCTAACAAACTGTTCCTAGCCTAGAGAGATGTCTTTTGTGACTGAGGCCTAAAGTCTGTCCTTGCTTTTCAGGACAGGAAAACTCAATTTTATGAAGTGGTGGAGACTGAAATGAGACCTTGGTATCTGACAATAGAGACATCAAATGTGAATGTCAGACACACCCGATACTTGTAAATTTAACTTCTGTAGCCATGGACACAAACTACAAAACTACCTCTTTCTAATTAGATCCTTTGTCAGATCAACCTGCTAAATAATTTATCTTTTTAATTTATTTTCAGCATCAGTAGCAGGACCATTGTTATTTGTCCTGATAATCGCTATTTTGGGGTATTGCTTAGTCTCCAAAAAAAAAGGTAAGATTCATGAAGTGAAAACAAGCAGATCTATAAATATTAGGAAGAGTGTCACCTCATTTCCTACTAATTTGAGCCTAGTGGTTGACTGACATTAGTGTCTTAGAAGATGCTAGCTCTCTTTGAAGCTTTTCTCATGGCTGGACATGGATGAAGTATCACTAGCGTGTAGATTCTTTGGTGTCTAATAATGTATGAGTTTATTTTTTTTTTCAAGGGGACAAGGTGATGATTTACAGGTTTCTGCCTCACTAGCTGGCAACCTATAGCTTCATGAAACCCTGAGGAGCTTTTGACACCATTCCTCTGTTACATGGGGGTGAAAATGGCCAAAGGGTTCAAAGGTCAACAGAAGAGAGACTAAGAGAAAACTCACGCAAATCAGCTTGATCACATAAGCTTTGGGGCTACAGAAAAATAGAATTAAAAAAATACTCCAGGAATACCATATGTATTTAGAGTAAAAGTATCTTTATTAAATCACATGGGGTGAAATTAATCTCAATACGGGGATACAGTGAGGCAAATGTCCCGTTCAAATCTCTCATTTCTCAGATTTTAGATAATTGTCTAAACATACAACATCCCAGTGGAGCTGGACAACTGTACAACAGTTTTGCTGCGACTGGAGCTTGTAAAATATTTTGTACTTCATCATTTAAATATTAGACACTATGAAATGTTATCATTAAACAGTCACGACCATATTTTATTGTCATCAATACCTTTTCTCACTGACACTATACTAGAAAAACTATTAATTCATGCAGAGGATCCTCTTTGCTTGCTGGCTAAATTTAGTGTCACCTTACAAAATTAATACAACATAGATTTCAACATTTTTAAACAGTGTGTAATAAGCGTACATTTGGAGCTTATTCCAGGAGCAGAGGATATCATTCAGACTAGTTAAGAGAGCAGCTTTTGCAACTGAAAACAAATTTAGGTGTTAATGAACCGTCTTTGCTCACTTGCAGCCCTTGTATATTCTCCACCGACTACAGAAGCAGATTCGGTGAGTGTCACTCCTTCCTTTCCACCTTTTCCATTTCTTTAAAAGTTACATAGAAATGATGCAGTCTTATCTAATTACACGTAGAAGAAAATGGCACAGCAGAAAGTCAGCTGGAGTGAGAATGGAGTGGTTTGGTCCCCAAGCTAGAGTGTAAGATGTACCTTACATAACCTACATAATGTACCATCCTCCCTTTATATTAGCAGTAGAACACAGGTGTGGCTCAGAAGACCAGATTTTAGAGCCCTTGTTCCCTAGGGTAATCAGTGAAGTACTGTAGGTGCCTTCAGGAGACAGGTTCATTTTGTTGAACACCTAATAAGCTGGTATGAATTTTACTTAGTCATCAGTATGCAAATGGCAATTATCAGTGGTTTCTTTAGCTGCCTAAGTACCGACCAGTTCTTTGTTAGTGTTTTTTAAAAAGATTAATGTTTTGCATTTCTCTGCAAATGTAAACCTACAGAAAAACAGTGTGACAAAAAAGTAAGAAATACAGGATCGCAAAACTCCAGCAGTTCTGAACAGGAGGAACAGCGTCTCTTGGAAACTTCCGGGTCCAGCAGTAGCTCCCTGAGTAATCCAACTGGGTCTGCAAGAGTCAATGTAGTAACAAAGCAACGTTCAGCTGCAGAAGGTTGTAAGCTTCACAGCGGAGAAAGACACAACTCTGCGAGTTCAGGTAAGAATGTATCAGAATGATCCAGAACCTCTTGAAATTTGATTATCAATTATGAGTCTCTGTAGCAGAAGTTTAAATGGCAGGATAAAACATCAGACCCATGTTCAGCAGAGAGAGTAACTTTTGGAAAGAAAAAGTGATTGCTGTCAGCCTGAAAAAATAAAGAGAGTGCGCTCAATGGAGAAGAAGTTATTTGCAAATTAGGGGATCTGTGTGAAGGGAGGCACTTACCTGTCAGTGGGAGTAAGAGCCAAAGGGAGCAGTAAGAAAAGAACATTGTCAAAAGCATCTGAAATGGCAACAGATGGGTAGGGAGTTGGCTGTGATGCAGGGCTCTGTATTAATTTTTATGGCTTTTTTATTTCTGGGATGACATGTGGATTTTATGGTACCAAAAAACCCGTAAAACATTACAGAACCAACTCCACCAGCTTACCTAAATTAAGTGAAGAAAGAAGATACTTAGTGTTTATTTTAACTTTAGGTCAAAGAGCTGGATAAAGAATCCAATCATCCTCTTCTGGGTTTCATTCTTCCATGTTTAATGTATTTTCTGTTTATTTGACAGAACATTCCGGTAATGGAGGAACGCAGGTCAATGTGACTTGTATTGTTAAAGTCTGTAGTCCAGACTGCAGTTCCCAGTTCCCAGAACAGACTAGTTCAACTAGCATGGATTATGGAAACGCTCCCTATTATTCCCCAACAGGGGAAGAAATTCCCCTTTCCAAAGAAGAAAACCCCTTGAAAAAAGAAACTGAAATTCAGATCTCAGTGGAAAACGAGGACAATTTACTTCAAGACTTACTTCCAGAAGAAAAGAAGTTTCCTCTGGGTATTCAAGATGCGGGGATGAAAACCAGTTAAAGGAAATTACAGATTGTATACTGATTGACTGATAACATTAATCAAACAACCCCTTATCTTCTAAAATAAACATTATGTTAAATGTAGCATTCCTAGAGAGACTTGAAATTTCAGACAAATACAGACACTGATGCTTTTGAGGTTTTTCATCTCTTTTGTCAGCTTTGAGAGTTGAAAGATGATCTTTGCAGTTCAAAAAAATTTGAATGCTTTTTCTTTTAAACTGAACGGCCAACTCCTCCCTTTCTTCTGTGATACCTTAGAGAGACCTTTACCAGATTTGAAAAGGAACATTTTTCTAACTTTATGCCATTGATTTTTCTGCTGAGACTTCTTGTGATGACAGTGTGGGTTCAGGTATGCCACCTGTCAAGAACATGGCTGTGACCAGCACTTCTAAGAGACTGGAGTTAAATTATCATTCACTCAATGCTAATGAATTATCCATTTGATTTTAATTTTAAAGCTATTGCATTCAATTTCCTATCCCATATCCTCATGGACATACTTTCCCTCATCCTCCTGGATATTTCTTTTATTATTATAGTTTGCTTTCGCTCATTATTGGACCAAACTTCTCAAATCAACCTTAAGTAGATCAAGGAGTGAAATCTTTTACAGGAGCCTTTTTACTAGATTACAACCGTTATGTCTAAACAGTAGCATTTCATTAGCTGTACATAGTTCATTTCATTTTAGAAAAGAAAATCTAGATTAAATAGTTGTTATCTTGGAGTAGGAAGTAAGTTCCTTTTATTGACAGTTCTAAAGTTTGTCATCTTTGTGTCCTGGCTGATTTAAATACGGTTCCCTGTTTGATTCTGACCTAATTTTTGAGGTTGACCATAAACCCAAAATATTTTTCCCTACGTTCCAGTGAATATTAGAGAAGATCCATGCGAATATGTATGCCAGATAGCTCACATGCATTGACCTCAGGAAAAGGGCTATCTTTTGATGATTGCATAGCATAATCTGTAAAAAGTGGAATTGACTCAAACCTCAGAACCAGAAAATCCTGTTCTTCACTTCTTGCTTGACGCTGAAGATCCAACCACCTCTTACAGAAAATTAGTAGAGGTTCTCCTTGAATCAAGTGGGAGTCTTTTTGGTTTTGGAAGTCGATTTTTAGGATCCCATTTCCCATAATTATATTTTATGTATGTGACAACTGGCAATTGTGGTGTCTGTTTTTAACCAGAACTCGCAATGTGGTGTCTGAATTACATTTGAGTGAAGTCATACAGCAGGCATAACTTTTTTCTTTTATGCCATAAAAACATACCTTTGGACTACATGATCATTGTACTTCCCTTCCAGCTGAACTATTCCGTTCTACCTCAAGAGAAACTAAATGCGGTAGTTATTTCTGAGGCCTTAGACTGAAAAAGGATATTTTGCAATAGCATTTATTCTACAGCTACAGAAGAGATACATGTTTTAAAATACAAATTTTAAACTTCCACAAAAGCTATGAAGTTTACTAACATTATTTCTGGAACTGAGAACTGCCGAACAGGTCTTTACTTCTACTATGAAGAAACCTTTTACAACTGTATATTAAACTTGTACTTGAAAGTAATTTTCAGAAAAGACTTTGAAAATGGGCACACTGAAACTATTATAAAACTGAAGGATTTAGGCAAGAAAAGAACCTAATTTCATACAGCGCTTTGAACCTCTTGCACTGTGCCAAGTATTTTCATGTCTCGTCCGTCAGCTCCTGGTATTGGGAGAAGCAGCACTGAAGATTTTTGAAGACATTTTTAAAATGTTAAAAAGGAGGATCCCGTTACGACAGTTAATTTACTGGGTTTTCAAATTATGGAGCTGTGTGACAAGGAAAATCCAAGTTTTATATTGAAGTAGGAAACGTGCTTGCATTTGCTTATAAAAAGTAAAAAAAAAAGCCTGTATTTTCATAATTACGTGTATCTTCAAAATTCCTGACCTCTCCATTAAACAAAATTCTGATTTTTAGAACGGGTTCTTTCATTCCATAACTTAAGCTGCCTGTTTCCAAACAATTTTATTTCCTATCGTTACCACCCAAGTAAAAGAGGACAGATCCACTGCAGCCTGGGCACAGGCACTACGCTACAGAGGACTCCATCAACAAACACCGCTCTTTCACTTCAGCGTCGGTGAATCAAGGCATGATCTCGACCCCCAGCCTGGGCAAACGGACCTCTGACGCTCTGAAGAGCCGAAAGGCTTCGTTTACTGCACTTTACTCGACGCGAGAGCTGCCGTGAGGGGCAGCTCCTGAGGATCCCGGCCCCATAAACGCTTCGGGCCAGGGCTGGCGGGCGGGCCCCTGGCGTGCAGAGCCCGGCGGCCCGGCCGCTCTCCCTCTCGCTGGCGGGGCGTTCGCGTC